ATTTCTAATTGAAATTAAAAAAAAACTCAATTTTATTACAATAATTATAGGTTCACATACACTTGTAAGAAATAATACAGAGAGGAACTATATACTCTGCCCAATTCCCACTGTGGCAACATTTTGCAAGACTGTAGAATAATATTATATGATATTGAGAGTGATATAATGCACTGTTTTTATTCAAGATTTTCCAATTTTATTAGTCATGTGTGTGTTTAAAGTTCTGTGCAATTTTATCACTTATATTGTTATATTCCACTGTTACTGTTAAGATACTGAACTGCTGGGACATAATATAAGTTCCACATACAACTCCTTTTCTAGATTCTGCCTTCCCATACTTTGTGTTTAACCTCTAGCAACCACTAATGTGCCTTAATTTTTTAAAATTTTGTATCAAAAATGATATGTAAATGGAATCATATGGTATGTAAATTTTGGTCTTTTTTTTTTACTCAGTAAAACTCTATGATTATTCATCCAAATTATAGTATGTAGCAATAATTTGCAACTTTTAATTACTAAGTTGTAGTCCATGCTATGTACATGCTACACTTGTTTAACAGTTAATTTCTTGAAGTTTATCTTGACTGATTTTAGTTTTTGGTTTCTACAAGTCACACTGCTATAAACACTCATGGACAGTATCCCTCTCTTACCTGTGGTTTCAGTTAACTGCAGTCAACCATGTTTGAAAATATTATGAAGAAGCTATTTTGAAAGAGAGAACACTTTCACTTAACTTTTATTACAGGGTATTGCTATAATTTTTCTATTTTACTATCAGTTATTGTTGTTCACCTCTTACTGTGTCTAATTTATAAATTAAATTTTATCATATTTATGTATGTGCAGGGGAAAAAAACAGCATACGTGGAGTTAGTTACTATAGAGTATTTACAATTCCAGGCTTCTAAGAGGGTCTTGGTACTTATCCCCAGTGGATTGTGGGGACTATCATTGATAGATGAGGCTCAGGGAGAGCAATATTGAGAGGAAGAGATGACAATTCAATTAATTCATTAAGGATATGTTTAAACATTTTTTCATATGCCTGTTGGCCATTTGCATTTCCTCTTTGGAGAAATGTCTTTTAATTTCTTCTGCCCATTTCTTGACTGGATTGTTTATTTTGCTTTTGTTGAGTCCTGTGAGTTCTTTGTATATCTTTGTGATCAGTCCCTTATCAGTTGACTGGGGTGCAAAGACTTTTTCCCCAATCAGTGGGGTGTCTCTCTGTTTTGGTTAATGTTCTTTTGTTATGCAGAAGCTTTGCAGTTTGATGTAATTCCAGGTGTTAATCAGGGAAATGCAAATTAAAACCACATTGAGATACTACCTTACACCAGAAAGAATGGCACATATCAAAAAAAAAAAAAAAAAAAACAAGCAACAACAAATATGGGCAAGGATGTGGTGAAAAAGGTACTCTTCTACATTGCTGGTGGGAGTGCAAACTGGTCCAACCACTATGGAAAGCAGTGTGGAGGTTCTCAGTCTACTAAAAATGGAGCTACCATAAGACCCAAGAATTCTAGTCCTAGGAATCTACCCAAAGGACACAAAAACATTGATTCAAAAGAACACCTGTACACCTATGTTTATTGCAGCTCTATTTACAATAGGTAAAACCTGGAAACAACCCAAATGCCCAAAAATAGATGACTAGATCAAGAAGATGAAGCATATCTACACAATGAAATATTACTCAGCAATCAAAAACGATAAACTCATGCCATTGGAGCAATGTGGATGGAACTAGAAGGAATTATGCTCAGTGAAATCAGCCAGAAGGAAAAAGAAAAATATCAGATGGTTTCACTTATAGTAGGAATATAGGGGAACCAAATAAGACATCAGTGTATAAAAATAATAACAGTACAAAACACAACAAAGCAAAAATGGACAATTATAAATGAGAGACATCCTGCAGGGGAGGAGGAGGGAGAAGAAACAGAGGGAGGGAGGGAGGAGCACAAGGGGATGTGGTGATGGTGCACGGGTGCCTTGGTAAAAGAAACTCTATGGGGACTACACCTCAGGGGATGGGGGAAGCAAATATTGTTTAAAAATGAACAATGGTGTAAAAAATTAAAAAAAAATAAAAAAAATAAAATTGTATTTGTTCAGTTAAAAAAAAGAATGTGTTTTAAAGAAAAAGATTTTAAAAAACAGGTGGAAATATTTAAAAACTGATAATACAGTAAATAAGGGCCACTATTGGTTCCTTAGCAGGTGAAGTCTTGCAGTAATTTTTATGGTAATACTGAGAATAGATGCAGTGTTTCTCAGTCATGGCTTAACATGAACATTAGAGTCCTGGGCTACACCAAAATCAACTGAATCAAAATCTCATGAGGAGAACGCAGGTATGCATACAGCAGTCCATCACAAATTAGCTTTATAATCCAGGGGTGCAAAGAAAAGGAATTGAGTCATGAGGGATAAAACAAATGGAACAGTTTGAAGGGAGAAATGTCAGTGCTCAATGATAAAGATAATAATAGGAGGAAGAGAAAAAAAATTAATCAAGAGGTTCCCATGGTTATAAACTAAATCGTGGATTAGCAGAATGTTAATGGAAACTTTTTGGGGAGGACTTGGACACAATGATTTATTTCATTTGATGATAATGATGATAGGTAGAGATTGCTTAGAGTCATCTGAAAATTTTTGTATTCAAAATCATTCATCCACTTCCCCTCTAGAAATCAAAGTTCCACTTTCATATTAAGGACCATTTTTTTCCATCTTAGCAGACCATGATGTTTTGTTAAATTCTGTTTTTGCAGTATTCTGAGTGATAATATTGCTTGCTTTCCTGTGATGTGCAAGTTTCAAACCTGGATACTCGAAAAAAACTGAAAAAACCCACATCTTCATTATATATGCAATTAGTTATAGCTCTGTTGTGGGTCTGGCAATCAGGTATTCAAATTATGGCAAGAGCAAAGAAGAGTTAAGTGGCTTTTATAATGTATTTTTATGAAAGTCATAAAGAAAACCCCATTAAGTGCTTGAAGAGAGCTTCTTGAAAATGTAGTCAGTCAGAGAAACCTGGATCCCAAGTGAGTCCTGTCACTCCACAGCAGGTGAGTTTATTTTCCATGGTGGCTGAGTTTGGTGCTATTGAGTTGTTTTTCTTGTCACCTTAGGCAAGCTTGATGGCTAATGGGATTGCTAATGGGATATACAGTCAGTTATGGAGTTCTAAACTAGCTTGGATTAGCTATGACTAAAATCAATTACCACAGTCCACTGGTCCACAGAAATCAGGGGGAACACTCTCACATTTCTGTTCCTAGTGAACAGCTGTATTTAGTCCCCAAGAGGAGAAAAATATCACCATCAAAATTGAGGCTAATTAGCACCCACATTGGCAGTCAGAATAGAGACATTGAGAAGAAAATTTACAAAAGGAGACTGGTTAAGGGCAGTAAAAATTTGTGTCACTAAAATTAGCCAAGTACAACAAATGACTTTCTGGTGATTTTCTGAAAAGCCATATTCTTCACTTAACACATTAAGGGACAATTTTGTAATTGATGTGATATAGGTTGTACATTCCATTATTTATCCAATTATTTTTATTTCAAAACATCCAGTATCTGCAAACTTTTGTGTAATCACCAAATGTTACTGGCTTGCTGTATATGTTTGCTATGACAAACACTCTGTTTAGTAGATAAGCATTGGCAAGCTTCAGTCAGTCAACAAAGATTAGTCTTTTGCTTAGCAAAATAGATAATCATTGTGCATGTTAGTGTTTAAAATACTACCTTTAGTTATTCTTTTTTTTTTACAGTAATATTTTGAGCTTAAAGCAGTTCAGTTGTAACTAACAGTACAGTTTTCAATTATTTACAACACTGTGAGCAAACTTTAGATCATTTCCTGGGTAGACATTAAAGGGAAAATGTTGGGAGAATATTAAAATGGAAAAAGAGGGCCTCCCTGGTAGCACAAGAAGTTAAGCATCAGCACTATGAAGCTATCTGCAGCCACTGCAGCATGAGTTCGATCCCTGGCCAGGGAGCTGACCCACATGGTGCAGCAGACATCTCCTGTCTTTTATGCTGCTCCCCTCAGCAGTGTATTTCACTAGATCAGCCCGTTCTGCTCCCCACTCTGTCTATGATGAATCCTCTCACCCAGTCCCCCACCCCCTGCACCTCTGGCTTACACACATAAATTTAAAAAAAAATTAAAAAAATAAATATAATTTTAAAAAGGCTCAAAAAATGGAAAACTAGGAAAAGTTTGCTAAAAGACATTTCCATGCTTACTACATAATTTATAGATCAGCTGAGTTTAATTGGTATTTTTATGTTATGTTTTATGGTATCATTTTCCAAGATGAAATATTAATGGTAGTAAAGATATCTTGACGTTTTTCTAATTAAATCAAATATTGAAATGGAAAGCTACATTGAAAACTGATTTTATTTTGGAAAAATCACAATTTTTAGCTTCTGCAATTTATAACTGACATGCTAGGATAGACTGATGTCTAAATTTAATCAAATATTCATATTATCATCTTTTGGGGGAAGATGGAATTATTAATTAGTAATTCTGGATGAAACATCATGGGAGTCATTGATTGTGGCTATGTCCTTTATTGACATGTCTATACTTTTCTCTTAAGTAGTCATGTATAGAGTAAGATGCTTGCAGGGATTAATAAATACTTTAAATTGGATGATTAAACTTTCCTGGTGACTCTACTGCAAACAATCAAAACACAATCTTTAAACATGAGAGCAATGTTTTTACTCTACTCTAACCATTAGGATCCTAAGCAATTTTCTCCCTCTTCCATGAATGAGTTCTTTGCCCTTCATAAAAATTTCTAACACCTATGCAGAAAGTCAAACAAAAACAATATTACATCCATCATAGAAGACCAATTCAATACTTTTACAATTGTAGGGGACTTCACAATTTATGTTTTCATGAGCATCTTGTGAGGTTTTTAAAATAGATATCCATAAGGGGTGCTTGCTTGGCAGCACATATACTAAAATTGGAATGATACAGAGAAGATTAGCATGGCCCCTGTGCAAGGATGACACACAGATATCCACAAGGGACAATTTTATCTAGGAATTTCTCTGAAATAATTTTTTAAAAAGATTTATTTATTTATGCATACAAGAACCGGGTTACAGCCCAGAGGTGTGGGAGGTGAGAGGATCCACCAGAGACAGAATGGGCAGACTGACTGAAATACACTGCTGAGGAGAGCAGCGGGTGAGACAGGAGAGGTCTGCTGCCCATGTGGGCAGCTCCTGGCTGGCCAGGGGATCGAACTTGTGCTGTAGAGGCTGTGGATAGCTTCATAGTGCTGTGCTTCACCCCTTGTGCCACCAGAGAGGTCCCAAAATTCTCTGAAATCTTTAAGCAATGAAAATAATGCATTTAATAACAACTGATTGATCTCTGCTGTCCAGGAATCATATAAACATGAATCATTCATGTGATGATATAATAGTAATTACCATTATAATTATCAAAACTTTGTTGAATATATAGTATACTATGTTCTAGGCACTTTGCTGAGAGGTTATTTACAGCTTTTCACTTTGAAAGGTAATTATCTTTACTCTTTCTCCCAGCACTTAGTTCAGGACTCTTACAGAATTTTTATGTCACCTGTTACTTATGTGTTTATAGGCCTTTTTCTTGCCATACTATATCTTCATGTGCTGGTACAATTTGTAAATTACTGCTGCATCTATGTAACTTGACACATGATAAACAATCAGCCAGTATATTATATACTTTAACCAGCTCTTGACTTCTAACTCTCTCCATTAGAAATGAGATGGAGAGGAAGATGGATAATCTATGTCATTTTCTGAAAAGGATATGTAGGAATCCGCACGGAGGAAATGTCTAGATACCAGAACAATGTAGAGATGGCTGGAAATGAATTAATGACCTATAATTATTATAGTTGCCTCTTACACCTTATTTTCACTCTCTCTCTCAAATCATGAGGTAGATTTATTGTGAAATCTAGTTGTTTGGGAGCTATTACAACCTGACAGTTAAATACATTATGTGGACCAGAGTATCACCTAATATAAGGAGAATCAATAAAGTTCAAATAAAGTCTTTGACAAAGCTGATCCATCTAACAATTATATAGCATTGCACTACACTTCTCTGACAAGCTTATGCTTCTATACACCATTAAAGCATGAGAAATAACTCTAAAAGTACCTCTAAATAAACTACAAAATAGAGCACACCAGCTATATTGAGTGTGTTTTTGCAGAGCATCAATTTAATAGTCCATTTTCCACTTTTCATTGTGAAAATGTGATAACATTATATAGGTGGCCCCTCAAATCTGTACTGTTGTAGATTTCTGTATGTTATATATTTTCTGTGGCATAACTCCTTTCATATTTTAGTTCTTAATTTTCTTACCTTAAAAATCTAAAAAGAACACCTTCATACTTTAACTACCAAAAAATGTCAAATAAAAATGCAACATCCAATCATGTGCTTTGACTTTCATCAGAAACTAGAATGAGAAGACATCTTTACTTGGCTAAGAGTAAGTTCTGACATATTATGAAAACAGTTAAATGTAAGTAAATAAAAAATGACCTCACCTGCATTAAAAAGGTAACTTTAGTACTCAAATTTCACATTCGGTGGGTTAATGTACATAATTTTTTTCCTAATATTTTAGAACGAGTAATCTAAGATTTTATAAATGTCTCTGAGTTGCATCAAAGCAATGAGCAAGGCCAACACTGGTTATCACTCGCCAAGGAGGTAATTGTGGCCACATCCACCCCTTACTGGGAAGTCCTTATTCCATCCCTGGTGGGTTATCAGATGTCTGAAAACAGTAGGTCTAGCCACACTGAAGTTGGGATGTGTCATGATACCAAAATCCTAAGACTGTCTAATTCTTTGTTGGATTTATTCTTTTTAGATGCATTGCATATCTCTCTAGTAACACGAATCACACTCCTACAGGTGCTAGATTTTGAGAATCTCAATTTGACAAAGTAGACCTGTCATAATAATTTCTTAAAGAAGATACTCACACCCACCCCACCCTCTGGCCCCCCAAAATATGCCAGAATATCAATCCTGGGCTCACAGCTGGCTGCTGCAGTTCATCTGACGTAGTCAGCTTCGAGGTACGGAGGAAGGGCTTGCTATGCTGTCTCACTCAAAATATGAAAAGAAAAAACATCACCTGGTTTTTAATCAAAGAGCCTTTGAATATTGTGCCTCCTGAGAAGGCTACTAGCTACTGTGCTTTCATGCTTACCCTTTGTACTGAACCACACTTAAAAGCCTTTAAAATTCATTGATGATTCGATGTGCTGCTCAGTCACAATACTTTTGAAGCAGGCATCCTAACTCGAGACTAAGTTATATTCACCCTTGGGTTGATATGAGGGAATAAGTCACCTCGTGAGAAATAACTTGTACTAAGGATATTGTGATACAGAGTTTTGTCTCAAGGATAGTAGGTCAGCATGAGAAAAAAAGGGTCAGAGCTCTCCCTTAGTTAGTCCCTCAACCCAGCTGCCAGGGACATATCCCTCAGTTCTTGAGGTGAGTCCATGGGGAACAAAAGATAGGCTTCAAATAAAAATTCCCTTTGTTCTTTCCTGTGTTACCTTCTCGAGAATTTGAGCACATACACTTCAGATATGTTATTGCCAGCAACTTCTACAACATTGGGAAGAAAAAAAAAAACTATTGATTTCTACAATAACACAAAACAAACATCTGTGCTCTCAATATTGAGAGCTCTCAATATTATCTACTCTGATAATTAGAAGCCTTTGGCAGAAGTATGAGTGTCAGTGCTTTGGTAACCACCATAGGCAGCGAGAGTATATACTTAGATGGAGTCCAACCAGAGAGACCTTTTCACCTGCTCCAGCAGGATTAGTGGCCCAGTTGGTTAAAATCAAGACAGGGCTCCTATCTTTGTCATTGAAAGTAGCAAGGAACGCCAGTATATCAAAGAGAACTGGAGTTAGCAGGAAAAGGGTTAAAAGGATTGACCCATCAAACATATACCCATGGAGGTTGAAAAAATTACCTGGTAGGAAGCTGAAGATATTTGATTTTTTTTATTATGTAGGAAAGAACTACAATGAAAGATTTTAATGATCACAATGCTATTCTGATTCTTTGCTAAGATGACTGAACTATGAGAAAGCAACTATTCTTGATTGAGGTTGTTTAAAATAATTTAAGACAAGTGTTAAATTGGGTGTAATATTACTTACTTAGTTGGGGTATAAATTAATTTTATTATACAGGACTTGGACATAAAAAAACCCCAAACATTTCAGGGGTCTTCCTGGTGGCACAAGGGGTTAAGCACAGCACTATGGAGCACTCTGCAGCACAAGTTTGATCCCCAGCTGGCCAGGGAGTAACCCACATGGAGCAGCAGACCTCGCCTGTCTCACCCACTGCCCTCCTCAGCAGTGTACCTTGGTCGATCTGCCTATTCTGTTCCCCACTCTGTCTCTGGTGAATCCTCTCACACACCCCCGCTCCCCGCACTGCAACTCTGGCCTGTACCTCCCAGCTTTTGTATACATAAATAAATAAATCTTAAAAAAAAAAAAAACATTTCACAGCATCATTACTTAGGTGAGAATATAGGTGTTGAGCGGCTACTGTGGGTTGGGGTTGGACACCAGGGAACAAAACAAAGTCCCTACTTTCTCTAGTGGAGGATATAGTCAATAAGCAGAAAAGCAATTTATTGGTCAAGTAAATAACATATGTTGATAAATATTATGAATAGCAAGAACAACTTATCAGAAGGTGACAGTTAATGTTATTTGAATATGGTCATTAGGAAAGGCCTCTGGGAAGGTGATGATGTTAAGAATCAGTGGGTGTGACTGAATAAGTCTAGCTCTACATAAAGACTCTAATTTTGCTGTAACCATTTTGTATGTCATTTTCTAATTCTAAAGGCATATGTAGGTATTGGGCTTTTTTTTTTGAGTAAACATTGGGGTTTTGAAAATTTTTTGAGAGCTGTTTCACAGTGGAAAGCATAAAACTATGGATTCATTCTCCTTTTAAATGAACATATTTATTGTTCTCAGTTCTTGAATTGTTGGGGTCTTATTAAATGTACAAACTCAGGTCCACCTACTTCATGACTGTGTGTATACATTGTCTCCCATTCCATTTTATAATCTTCTTTCTATATATCAATTATCTATCAGCTACCTATCTATTCAATGTCAGTATAAACAAAAACATAAATATGATGTTTTAGATTCAGATAAAGGAACAGGAAGAAACAGGGGAAATCAACAGCTTTTGTTTTCTACTAAGTTCTTTGGCTTCAGTTACAGTTTAACATTAGGAAACTATGTCTCATGCCTGGAGAAGTTCTAATCTGTAGTCTTGAACAAAGACTGACTCTGAGGAGCTGTGTAGATCATGCTGTCACTTCAGGAAGTCCAGAGCAAATGAAGCTTGGATTTGTTTTGAAGCAAGGGTCAAAAAAGAGCAAATCTGCCTTACTGAGCACATTTCTTTTCTTTGGGTATTTATAGACACAGATTTGAAGTTTTACAAAGACAGTCTAATCCTTTATTTTAATATTTATATTCCCTGTAATAGAATCAGAATATGTTATTTACTTAAGTATTTGTACTTTAAGCAAAAATATTATAAGTGCACAGGACTCAGACCCATTTGTATACATGTTTAAAGAAGAAAAACAAATATGTGGCAGTGCTTCAGTTCTCTGGAGGCTTACTATCCATTTGTGGAAAAAAGAAACACAACAAGAAAAGTCATGAGAGTAGAAGAAATAAATGGAAATGCAAGAACCACAGTAACAAGATAGAACAAGAGTTAACAAGTGCTAAGGGGATATTGTACAGACTGTGCCTGCAGTGACTGCAAGGTATAGTTAAGAAAACTTTATAAAGAAATGAGAATATGAGCTAAATTCTTAAAGGGGTTTATTTTGGTCAATATGAAAAACGATTCATGGGTGTTAATTTGAGGATGTAGAGCAAGAGGACTGTTTTCAAAAGTAATACCATGCAAATAGAATGGAGAGTGGTATAGAAGAGG